AGCCCTCTTTACAATAGCCAGAAACTGGAAGAAACCTGAATGCCCAAGAACAGATGACTGGTTAAAGAAACTTTGGTACATCTACACAATGGAGTACTATGTAGCTGTTAGAAAAGATGAAGTCATGAAATTTACATACAAGTGGTACAATATGGAAAGTATCATGCTAAGCGAAATGAGTCAGAAAGAGAGGGATAGACATAGAAAGATTGCATTCATCTGGGGGATATAAAGTAACAAAGTATGAGATTAATACCCAAGAATAGCTGAGATCAGCACCAGGAGGATTACTCCATAACTTAGAGGCCAGCCGGGTATCCTAGAGGAAAGGGCTATTCAGATAGAGAAGGGAGCACCAAATAAAGGATGTTTGGAGGATCCTCCCAGGAGGGGAGATGCATGTCGAAAGTAGACTATGGACTGAACATGTTTGCCACTCAATGCCTCTTTTGCAGACCACAACACCCAAAAGGAGAGAGAGAACACAGGGGATTGCCCTGCCACAGAGACGGGGGGATGGGGGGATGGGGGTGGGAGGGATATTATCCATGGTGGTGGAAAATGGGCACTGGTGGAGGGATGGGTATCTGATCATTGTATAATTGAAACCAAAGCACAAAAAATTGTAAATCTACAACTTTAAAAAAAATAAAATAAAATAAAGGGGAAAAAAAAAAAAAACAGGCACAAACTACTTTTCAACTGAGTGAGTGGGGAAAAAAAATAGGTATGAAGTAGATTCTTCTGTGTAAGAATTATTTGTTTCCATTTGAGATCATACCAGAACTACCTTCATTTTTTACAGGGGCATTTTCTAATAAAAACACTCATAGATGGAACACCAAAGTCCATGTCCTGAGCTGGTGACAAGCCTGCCTTGACCTGTTTGGTTCTAGGTAAAGGAGGAAGTGGATTGTAACTTACTTAGCCTGGAGCTTCTGAGGAGACGTTTCTGACTCTGAGCAGCCACTTCCAGGAACCCGAGTCCTAGTTCTGCAGAGCTGAAGTTTCCTTAAGGCTCATTGGCTTTGCCATTGAGAAACAAACCACCTTTAGACACTTTAAAACTCTTCTCTAATTCAAGGAAATAATTTCATAAATGTATTTTCTTCATAAATTGGGTATGTGTCTTATTCAAAAGGGTTCTAATTTCATTTTTCTAAACATGTTCCTAGCACCTGGGAGAAAAATGTATTTTTTTTGTGTGGAATAACCTTCGCAACAACAATAGCATTTAAGAAAGTCACTTTAAAATTCAAAGCAAAACAATTTTTCATAGAATAAGTCTAAAGCATACCACCAAATGTAAACAAAGAAACTTTATCCTAAGCCCATGCAAATTTTAAATGCAAAGCCTCAATACTATGAGATGGTTAACCAAACTATGATCTTATATATACTGAGGAAATGTGATATATCTAACTAATGTGTAGTTCAAGAACAGCATTGAAAAGTATTTCCAAATTATGTTTTAATAAAGTTTTGTTTTTCCTACAAACAAGTTTAAATTGTCTATTGATTTCCTATCATTGTGGCATTTTATAATGACATTAATTTCTATGCTAACTAGTATGAGAAATATGGGAATCGGCAATGAGCTTCACTCTAAAGAAAACAAGCAATGACCATTCCAAAAGTTCTTCTGTTTAGAAAGATATGAAGAAAAATATTAAAATAAAGTACCATTCTAATTATAAGCAATGCCAGACACAGTAACAACAAAGTCTCCAATGGAGACGTTACTGGGCCCGCTCGAGCAAATCGACGATCAACGGGAGGGCCTTTACCTTTACCTTTTTAGAAATATTATCAAATACAGTAGTTATGGAGTTCATGCCCAATTCAATCAGCTAATCAGTGGCTGAATAAATAGCAGTACTCCTACATAAAATAAATTTTTAAAAAATACAGCAATAAAAAGTGATTTCCTCAGTAATTAAGATATGTTGCTCAAAAATCTGAATCTGATTTATATTTTTACTTTACTTTTGAACGGAATTTCTCAAAATGCCCATTTTTCTCAATAAAATTGTATTATCTTCATGGTCTTTATCTGAAAGTATATGAGTATATAATTTAGAAAAATGTTGTAGTTTAAAATTTTACATGGTAAAAGTTAAATATTTAAATTCCTAATAATAAATGTATCTGCTCCATACTAAAATAAAAAATTGAGGATTGTTGAGGGGTTTGGGCCACATCTGCTATGCTCAGAATTTATTCCTGACTCTGTGCTTTGGGATCACTCCTGGAGGGGCTCAGGAGACCACGAGGTGCCAGGGATGCTCAGTTTATCTGTGTGCAAGGCAAGCACCCTATACCCTCTACCTGCTCTAGCCCCTTAAATGTTTAGGTATAGTCTGAAGAATACTTCATTATTGACACAGGTATGAAATGTCCTGTGAATCTGCACATGAACTGAGAGTTCAAATGAGATCACTGAGAAAGTGAAAATGAAAACAAAAGGGAGGTGGTCTGAATTCAAATATCCATCCATTTGCTCACTAATATTTAAGTTCTTATTATTGACAAGGCTGGAGCGATAGCACAGTGGGTAGGGTATTTGCCTTGCACGAGGCCAACCCGGGTTTGATTCCTCCGTCCCTCTCAGAGAGCCCAGCAAGCTACCAAGGGTGTTCCACCCGCACAGCAGAGCCTGGCAAGCTCCCCATGGCGTATTCAATATGACAAAAATAGTAACAGCAAGTCTTACAATGGAGATGTTACTGGTGCCCACTCGAGCAAATTGATGCACAATGGGAGGTCAGTGCTATAGTGTTATTATTGGCAAGACACTGGGCTTGCAATTGAATGACATGTCAGTGGATAAAAGAGAACCCAGATTCACTGGTCTTATTATCTCATGAGGAAGAGAGACAGTAGGAAATAGTTATTCCCATAGCATGGCTGGGGAGCAATCTCACCAAAAGAAATATGAAGCAATATTCACTAACAAACTTTGTTATAAACTATGAATAACCAGTGAAGTCTTAATCAAATTTAATTGGGAGGGGAACTTGCCATGAAGGGTTCTCAGAAGATATGGCAGAATAAATAATGATTATCTTTAGAGCTGTCACATTTATCTAAGTAAAGGTTTGGAGGAAGGAACCACATCTGGGAGGGAGCTGTGTAGGAAAGTGCATGGTGAGTTATAGGAAAGGATTAACATGACAAAAACGCAGTGAGAGGAACAAGGATACAGGGCAAATGGTGAGCCTGAGAACTTTGCATTTTGATCTTCAGCATGCTCAGGAAATCCTGGGAGCACTCTGAGAAAAAAGAACCATCATCACATTTTTGTCTTACGAGTTACTTGGTTTGTGTGTAACAAATGGGCTGGAAATACCTAAATAAATAAATAAATAAATGAACAAAAGAGGAAATGGGGTTAGAATAATGTGAAAGCATGATGTTGGCAGAATTGGAGGAAATATTCATGATAAATTGGAGACACACCAAAAATAGCACAGATAGGATCTGATAACAGACTGGATGTATGGGAGGCACATCAAAGTAGCACTGATAAGATTTGATAACAGACTAGATTTAAGAGTAAATGAGGACACAAGTGTCAAGAGCATCTATTTCTTGAGGCAGCAAGCAACTGATTGATGAAGATCATGTAATGACATGAAGAAACCCTGGGAAATAAAGCTTATCTGGTTGAGCTGAGAGGTGAAAAATCAAGAGTTAAAGAATGAGACTAGTTCATCTTGTTTTCAACATATTTAGCTATAGCTCATAGTAATTCTCTGTCCTTTTGGGCTCATGTCCTTCACTAGAAAAAAAATCTTGATAGTGATTACAGATCTTCTAGATCTAAGATACTCACTTTCAAACAATGATCAATGAAACAAAGTATACTATTAGTTGAAAATAAAGTTAGCCAAATGAAGTTACCTTTCCCCTTTATTCATGCCCATTTGTAGCATGTAGCTACAAATCAATGCATTTAACAGTCTTATACAATTATTTTCTCTAAGTGAACTCTCTCTTAGGCATAATGAAAATCTATGACTAACTCAAAGGAAGCTTATTTGGTTGGAACTTTTTAAGACTCATAAAGCAATTCAGAAATACAGACAGAAATATAAAATTCCATTCAGAGGTGAAAAAAAAAAACATAGTTCGACTACTGAAGCCATGGGTTTTCTTTTTATAAAAGACACATTTTATCTTTTATTGCTAGACAATTTTCCTTTATGCCAAAAAGACTATGTCATGATTAATGGACTATATCAAGCAGAGAAGAATAATCACGATTATACAAAGCTGTCACAAGCTACCTCCAAACTAATCTAGATGCCATACAGATTCATTTGGGGAATTACAGACCCAGTCAGGACCAGCCAAAAAGAAAAAGAAAAAACAAAACACCGTGACATTGATTAGTTACTTCATGGGTTCTTTGTGTGTGTACACATATAATTTCAAAACTTCTTAAACTGCACTCATTTTATCTACAAAAGCTTGACTTTAAATCAACTAAGTTCCCAGAATTTTCATTCTTTCAATACCTTCAGAAAGAAACGTGGCAGAAATGCGGCAAGCTTGGTAGCGACCAAGCAAGGGGATGAATAATAACCTGTCAACTGGCCCGGAGAGCTCAAAAAGTGCTCATTACTCTGACAAGTGTTTGTTTTAGTTTGTGGGAGTGCTGAGTGTTGTGTATAGTAAACGTTTGTTACTTAATCTATTGAAATTATGAGCAACAGAAGAATAGACAGCTATGACAAGGAGACAGAAGGCAGATTCTTTCCAGTTCTTCATTAAAGTCTCTAGTCCTGTCCCACCAAGTCTCAAACACAAATATATCAACATCAAGACTCCTGGAATGGTTACAGGCCTTCACAATGGCTAGAGGTCTAAGTATTTAACTGTGTTATACAAGTAATATTGAGTGCGAACAAATGAATGTATCGTATATTTGAAAATTATGGCATAGACAAAGAATGAAGACTCTTCCCACATTCTAACTAACATTTGCTTGGTCCTAGGAGCATGGGATTCCAACCGACATGGGCTATGCCGTGGCCCCTCACCATTCTGGTGTCTATCCTGTACATGTTCAGCTGTACGAGGCCTGGAAGAAGGTTTGGAATATCAGGATCACCAGCACTGAAGAATATCCACATCTGAAACCAGCTAGATACCGGAAGGGCTTCATCCACAAAAACATCATGGTGAGCTGTTCAGTCTGCATAGGGTGCCACTAATTCAGCCACATTACATTCCTCTTTGGAAGGAAAAATAGAAGCACCACATTTTTAAAGGTCACCATATGAAAAGCTCCATAATTGCAGGAAGCATACTTGTCATATCAAAGCAGATATGGTTTTAATTAAGTTTATGTCTATTATAAAAATATAGCATAAAATTCTGTTTCACTGATACTATTGCAATTAAGCAGACATTGATGTGGAAATATTAGGAAAATATTAATCTGAGTCATGGATCATCTATAGAAGCCATCAACTCTTCAAAAAGTTACTGAGGACATAAAATGAAAACTCACTCTTCATAAAATAGCCATTTGCTATTTTATAAGCAAAACTTGCCTCTTCTTTTTACCATGTCAGGCTTGAAAAAAACAAAAAGAAAGAGGAGAAAGAAAAACTATGACAAAAAGTCACAGGTGAAGCCTGACAATCATGAACTGATCACAGTTTAAAGTGTAAATGAAACATGGGTTTAGTAAAATAATTCCTATCCATTGTTCAAATATCTCTAAAGTTGTTCTATTTCGTTTTGTTTTGTTTTCACATTGGCAACAACTGTGTATTACTCAGATGTGTCATTCTTAATACTTTGTGAGCTTTTGTCAAATCTGGTAATTAAATTCTAATTTTCCCTCACAAAGTGGAAATCCAAAGAGTCCTGGTAAATTAAGGATGAGTTAGACATATACTGGGGGCTGTGAGTGGGAGTAAGGGTCACTGCACCCAACAAAGTGTCCAGGCACTATAACTGCCCAACTATGTCTGTGCAGATCTCTGTCCCTTAGGTGGAAATACCCTTTTTTCTGAAAATTTTCCTATGCTTATCCAAACTATGGGGTAGATTATGACATTTAATTTGAACCAACTCCCATCTTAACTTTTCTGTCAATAAAAACTCCTAAATATGAGATGCAGACATGATGACTACATTCCATCCCAGTCTGCTGGGCCTCCTTATTGAAAGTGAACTCACGGAGCCACCAGCTGACACCCTTTTGAGTTAGAGAGAAGACGTGGTTTATATAATAATTTAAAAGCTTTCAATATTCTTTTGTCATTTAAAGATTATGTGCAGTCATAGCAGAGTTCTGAACCAAAGACTTTATTCAAAGCTCTTTTGTTTTAAGTCTTCTTGTTCTGCCAGGAATCTTGCCTGGCTCTGTCCCATGAGATGTGTTCATTTCTTTCTCCGGAAATATATTTTGCCTGCCTTAGACACGCATAGACCTTGCAGGTTAACAAAGGCTCTCACGGATTTCCCATCTTGATGGAACTGTCCCTGTGGTTCCACTTTTGAGGTAGTCCACTAAAACTTGTATTTGCTCTATGGGGTCTTGAATGAGCATTTCCAAGAGGAAAATGTTCAGTAGTTTGTTGGTCATGTAGAACAGAGAAGGGACAGGGTTGGAGTTGTTTAAATAGTGACACAAGAAGAGAACCAAGAGCCTATATGCCCTCCAGGAGGCAGGCTACAAGGGCAAAAGAGCAGGGAAGTGTGAACCTTGCCTAGATCACACCAATATTTTATTTTCTGAGATGAGGAAGCCAATTTTTAAATAACCAATTCACAAACCAAACTCAAAATCAAAAACTTAAATGAAGCTCATTGTCTTCTGTGTAAGCCAATCACTGCTACCCCTAACTGGAACATCATGTGTCCCTTTTCCCTCATAATTGGTCTATATACTCCAACATAATTCCTTTATAGTAATTTTGTACTTTCTTTCCCACAAATGTCATTCATTTTTTTGACTTCCACATGTAAACTGTGCTGCTTCTTCAGCTTTGTCTCTGACCCATTGACAGAGCCAACCTTTAAATTTTCCTTATATGCTGCCTTTCAACTTGACCTTCCTGCCCTTATGTGTTTTCGATTGTTTCCACACCCTCTTTACTTGCCCTTTAGCAACTTGATAACAATTTGAATTAAGTTAACTTCTATCTTCTTTCCCAAAGTAGCTAACAAAGGCTCATTCCAGAAAAATCTACAATAGCATTGCTGTTTTCACGCCCTTGTCATTCTTTCACAAAAGACTTTCTGACCATACTCTATTTACTATTCTCTTTATTCCTCAATATCAAGTCTCATGATTTTATACAGAGGAATTAAACCACATTCATGTGTAGCATCTCAGTCCTCACACTAATTCTCTTTTAAATCTCTAAACACATCTTCTTATAAGTTCACTGAGATAAAAGCCTACAATATTTCAAGGTGAACTGAGCTGAAACCAGTCCTACTGCTCTGTGTGCTAGGAAAATTTTCCCTTAGTTTAATAAGCAACTGAGGGTTTATCTGAACTCCGTACTAGCCCCCACTCTTACATGTGGTTCTTTGGAGAAAACCAATTAGACTCTAGACCCTGGTTATTTACCTGCAGCTGCTACTGGTGACTCTTCTGCAGGGACCCTTCTTGGGTGTTTATTATTATTGGCTCCTACAAGAGTGCAGACATTTGCCTCTGAGGTTCACAGTGCTGGCCTCAAGTTCCACTGGACGAGATTTTTTTTGATACTGCTTTGACAACCAACCTGCTACCTGCAGCTGTAGGATTTTCAGGGGCCTCATCCATGTCTCAAATTTTGAATATGAGTGTTACACTGCCTGATTTGGTTCAAGAAAGTGGTCCACAATACTGAAAAATTTTCTCATTCCATCTCTACACAAGAGAGATATTTTGAGGAACATATTCAGTGTCTTGTGTCATAGCGTTCAGGGAGCAAAACAATACTAAATGACCCTATCAAATAATTATCTCTGCAGCCTACGATGCCGGCCCACCAAAAAGTCTAGCATTTTCTCTGCCTCTCAGCCTCTCTCTTCAGCCGGTGTGGTTGAAAATCCTGATACACCCTCTTCACTGCATTCCAACTTGAACCATTTGAGAAATGAGAAGTAGTCATATTTCTTCTCACTTCCATCTGAATTTTACATAGATTCAACTAGGCGAGAATGTTCCAAATATGGTCTATTCTTCCATCGTTTTGCAACCAAGCTATTCAAACTCAATCTTAAAAGTGAATTGGAATCATGTGATTTTTAATAATTTGGCACTTAATCACATGTATTTTATTACTTTTATTTTAGGTATTGATAAATACTCTGATATACATTTGAGTCTCATGATAGAAAGTACTTATATTTATATTCTCTCATATGGACTTACATAGGATTTAGAATAAGCTTTTGTGTTTCTTTTTAAAACATGAATAATGCTACTTAAACTTTAATTTATTGGAAATGAACTTCCCCAAAGCTATTAGGGAACATGTTTAATTCAACTAGACAATCTGTCCACTTGCTTTTTAGCTCATAATCCTATGAGGATGAGTGATACTGTTGAATGCAGACATTACCAGATCTAGTACTACACAATTAAGCTGATGTTCCTTCAACTATTTTATCAAGTTCCAGAAGCTTTTAATAAGTCAACATTTACAAATTCACCAAAATAAGTGGGATGCATAAAATTTTGTTTATAGAGCAATGTATTTACTGGCCTGAAAATGTTTTCTAAGAAAATTTTGCTGTACCTAGACTTAAATTTATTATGATTCATTTAAACACTTGACAAGAACTGGTATATTTCTACGTGTTGTTTCAAAGCTTAAGAAATCCTATGCAGGTAATATTTTGAAACCACTAATAAAAATAATGTGCTTTAAAAATCAAGTCTGAGGGACTAGAGTGATAATGCCTTGCATGTGGCCGACCCAGGTTCAATACCAAGCATCCCCTATGGTTCCCCGAGCAGCACCAGGAGCAATTCCTGAGTGCAGAGCCAGTAGTAACCCCTGAGCATCGCCAGGTGTGACCCAAAAGGAAAAAAAATCAAGTCTGAAAGAATAAACATTGATTTGCTCATGATAACAAATAGAATATCTCCCTGAAAATAGTGTGTAAAACTTGTAGCTCTCTAAAGTATACTTATTAATTGTTGCTACTTCTATTGCATAGTAACAAATACATTTCATTTCATTTCATTTCATCATCCTGTTATTCGTCGATTGCCTCGAGCAGGCCCCAGTAACATCTCTTTCATCCTAGCCCTGAGATTATATTCAAGGCTCTTTAGGAGAATGAGACCCATCATTGTTACTGGTATTTGGCATATTTGGTACGCCACGGGGAGTTTGCCAGACTCTGCCCTGTGGGCAGGCTACATTCGATAGCATGCAAGTTTGTCCAAAGTAGGAATGAGACAATAAGATGTCACAAAAAAAAGTTCTGAAAACTTTTAAAACATTATAACATTTTAAAACATTGTAATATTTTAAAACATTATAACAAATACATGTTATAATGAAAACAGAAGATTTAGTTGAATATCATTTTCAAATTTTTTGTTAAAATCTTTTTTTTATAATTGTTCTGGTATTTTATCAAGACAGCATTCAGTAGTCTCGGGCCACTTCCCTACCCTGAGGAGGTTGATAGTGATGGGCAGGTGAAGGAAGGAAATGAGGACCAGGCTGGTTGGTCTTAGTCAAAGTTTATTCCAATACTTTCTCCATTCATTCCTGTCTCTCTCCTCTGCCTCCTCTCCTGCTTCTTTCTCCCCTATGCTACTTCTTTCTCCTTCTCTATCCCCCTTCATCCTCCTTCTCTTGAGTCTCGATTCTGATTCTGACTCCCCAACCCACTCGTACAGTACTGTTAAAACCCAAAGCATGAGGGGTTGGGGTAACAATTACATATAGGTGCGATCATAATCAATAGGGATAGAATTATTTTCCTCTTTGGGGAAAGAATTCTTTGGGGACATCTGCTCCTAGGACAGATTCTTATTATCAGATCAATCCACCCTAGAGCGGATTCCCCTGGGTGTGTTTCTCCTCTTCTTGTCTAACAAACATATAAGCATATATAAAATAAGTCATTTTGTATGGATACAGTAAGAAATACCTTAAACTTACTGAATTGCCCTCTTAGGGCCATCTCGATCTCAGACTACAGTGCTCAGGCCAGATAGTCTTTCCTACCCCCAGCAGGGTCCTAGTCTCGTCGTTACTTTTCGATCATGACAGCATTTGTCTATGATCAAACTCTTAATTTATAGTTAAGAATCGTGGCACTTTGGCCTGGCCCATTTCAGTGCCAGGGTAGTTCATCGCTTGCCCTGGGTCCATTCAGTCCCTCGTCGGGTCTCTGCTTTTGGGGTGTTAGGAACCAAGGGCAACTGAGGTGTAAATCTAGAAAGCAGATGCCTGGGAGTGAATAATATTCAAAGCCAATTAAATCCTAAGTTACAAAAGCATAATATTAACTGTTTTTCTGTATCTATACAAAAAGGACATTGCATAAAGTAAACTATTCAAAAGACATAAGGAGAGGAGAAAGGGAATATTTCACTCATACATATAAAAATCATAGATTTCTGAGGCATCTAGCCTTACAAGTTAACAGAGTCTGATTAGGGGAAAAGCTGATTAACTGGTTGGGGAGGAGAGCATAGGGAAGAATTTACAGATAAACAAAAGTGTTTAAGGAAGTGCCTCAGGAGCACGGTGTGGGTGTAACCTGATAAGCTCCTTGTAGAGAAAGGGAGAAAGGACAAAGCAAAGTCATCCTACAGAATCAGGGGTGGAGGATGAAAATGTCCTTATCATAATTGCATATAACTAATGGAAATGATGACTTTCATATCCAGAAGATGAAGATAACTCCTTTTTTAAGTGACTTTTTATTATATTGTTTGTGGATACTTTATAAAAATTACAAATCAAACATATATCTTTATTGCCTCTAGAGAAGATTGGTTTCAGATTAGAATTTGGGGCAGTTACTAAAGTTTGCAGCATATTATTTTTAAGACTACAACAGACACATGTTTTACTTCTTAAATACTAATTCCAATTTAAAGTATCATTTCCTAAGACTCCCGCTGAATTAATAATTGAAGTCAGAGCAATAGAGTAATAGTTATAGTGGCTAGGATGTTTACCTTGTAAAGAGCCAATCTGGGTTCGATTCCTGGCACACCATATGGTCCCTCAAGCCAGCCAGGGGTGATCCCTGAGTGCAGAGCCTAGAGTAAGCCCTGAGAACCACAGGTGTGGCCCAAAAATTAATTAATAAAGTAATTAATAATTTATCTTTCCTTCTAGAGTTAATATGAAATTTAGTAAAAATTATCCTTAAATTTTAGCAGAGAAAATTCCAATAATTTATCAAGTTTCATTTTCACTTCTTTATCTCTGAAGATGCTGAATTCATGCTAGAAGGACTTTGAGATTCAAAGTAGATAGATAACTGGCAGGGCCAGAGTGATAGTACAGCAGAGAGGGCACTTGCCTGGAACGTGCCTGACACGAGTTCAATCCCCAGCATCCCATATGGTCCCTGCAGCATTGCTGGGTGTGACTCAACACCAGAATAATAATAATAATAATAATAATAATAATAATAATAATAATAATAATAAAATGTTTTTACAACCTAGTATTCTCTCAGTTGTGATGTCATATTTGCTTTGCCAGAGTGTGAAGCAGTTTAGTTCAGGGGTGACACCAGCCTATACATCATCTCTGATGAAAAATAGGCTGTTTCAACAAACTAATTGGTTGATAAAAACTTTTTTCTTACTTATTTATTCTTCCTTTAGGTTCTTCCAAGACAAACCTGTGGACTTTTCACTCACACAATTTTCTACAAAGAGTATCCTGGAGGTCCTAAAGAGCTGGACAAAAGTATCCAAGGAGGGGAACTATTTTTCACTGTGGTCCTCAACCCAGTAAGTATTCTGAGTTACTCATCAAATAAATAACAATAAAAAAAAAAAAAAAAGACAGGGTGGTTGAATTAAACCTGGCCAAAAAAAAGGCCAGGGTATAGGTAGTTGCCAGCTTAAGCATCATGAAGTTCCAGCTTAAAAACAGTTAGAAAAACTAAATGCAATCATGTCTAGCACTAGAAGCTAAGTAACTGCACAGGGCAAAGTCTCGGGACCATGTGTGGCAGCCAGGCCACTCTTCACTGAAGGGGGCCAGAATCACACATCCCAATCAAAGAAAATAAGGGTTTCACTTAGAAACTCTATTGTCCTAAGAGCCACTGTTATCATTTAGTTGGCCTTTACCTCTACTTTACTTGTTCATGTAAAGAGAAAGTGAGCTAATGGAAGAGACTTAGATAGCATAGATGGCAGGACAGAGCAGCCTGTTTGATGAGATGCTGTTCCTCCCCCTGGGCTGAAGCGATAGCACAGCAGGTAGGGCCTTTGCCTTGCATGCAACCAACATGACCAACCCGAGTTCGTTTCCTCCACCTCTCTCAGAGAGCCCGGCAAGCTACCAAGAGTATCTCACTCATGACGTATTCTATATGCCAAACACAGTAACAAGTGTCACAATGGAGACCTTACTGGGCCCGCTCTAGCAAATCGATGAACAACTGGAGGACAGTGACAGTGACTTAAAAAAAAATTACTATTCCATGCAGCGTTCTTCCCCCTTCCCTTCTTAATACTGGTGATCAGACAATAAACCATTCACACACATTTTGGCTCCCAGCAAGTATTCTATAGTTGTGTAGGAAAGAAAACCAATTGGAGTAAGGTGTATGTAAGGTAAAGAAATTGACTAATACAAAAAGTAAAGTGAGGTTGATTTATCTGGAGAATTGTACAACTGCTCTTGGCAATCGCAATATTTAAGACAATAAATGCATAATTTTGCATATTATCAAAAAAATCTATCAACATGAAATTTGGATAAAATGAAAAGAACAGGACTTGAGAAACTGCTCTTGACCTGAAGTTTACAGGTCTTACAAATAAAATTACAGGTATTTTTCATTATTTGTTTTTATTTGGTGACTTTCTCTTCTCTTACAAAATGAGATCAAGGGAAGTATAACTAATCTCTGGGCAAAATAATCACCTGTATTTAAAAATCAGCTTAGCTGGGGATAACAAGGCATAGATTTTGGCTGTTTATCAGCATTTATAACCTCAAATATAGATGATCCTGATTTATAAATAAGAAAGAAAATTATCCTTCTAACTTAATTCATTGTAAATAGATGTGTCTTTGGCATCATTTTTCTGTTTTTTTCTTTTTCTGTTTTAGTCTCTTCAGTCAGTATTGTATGGGAAAAAAAAGGAGTTTATTATGTTTTTCATGAACTGAAAACTAAATGTTCTTAATATGTTAAAATTTTTGACCAGTTCTTTTAAGAACTATTTGATATATAAAACTCTATTTTACATTCCCTTTCATCATAAAATAACAGGACTGTGAATAGAATTATCTATTTAATTCTTTTAACCAATAATTGCTTTGGTGATTCAAAATTTCTAGTATTACCATTTCATATCTTTCTATACCAAATTAATTTCATTTAACATCAAAATTAGACCATTTATGCATAACTTAGTGATAAAAAATATAAATTTATAAGAAATATTTTTTCTGATTTGAAGTAAGATTATTAGGCAAAAAACCCGTGATGTATTTGATATGCCAAAAACAGTAACAAGTGTCACAATGGAGACGTTACTGGGCCCGCTCGAGCAAATCAATGAACAAAGGGAGGACAGTGACAGTGACAGGCAAAAAACTTGTAGTAAAGTTTGAATTAATATTGGATACAAAAGTGAATTAAATTAAATGAATAAACACTTTAGATGTTTAGCAAATCTTGCTACTTTTCAGAACCATGTCAATAATATTTTATTTTTTTCTCTCTGTAGGATGAGGACATAATAAAGAAAGAAAAACCTCTATCACATCAGTTAGCCTTTCTTGATTTAGAAAACTTTTTTTCAGTAATAATCACTTTCAGATAAATGCTGGAAATAAATTACAGAGTTTTCTAAACATCTTCAGATAAGCAACCACTTCCAATTAACTTTCTGGAATGCCAACTCCAAAATTTGGAAGCAACTGTAGTTGCCTGGAGATGTGTATTTGAGAAATCTGCTTTTAGATTCTTTTAAAATCTGAGAGAAGACTTATCATTAGCTAGCTAGTGTGTTTGTTTTATGAACAGAATGAGAAATGATGGCCTCGTTATCATGAATTCCCCACCCCTTAATTGTTTGGATAAAGTTTATATTAAAATTAATAAAAATCCAGATTTAGTGAGTTATGCTGGTAATAATACTCTTTTCAAGATCAGAATGGCAATGAGAAAAATTTAATGAAATCACAGATATTAGAAGGAGCAAAGATATAAATTCCAATTACAACGGATTTAAAGACAGCCTTTGTAAGCTTAACTAACACCTCAGGCTTTGATTAGAAGTGTCACTTTCTGAGAATACCGAAGAGATGGATGTCTATTGCAGAGAGGTATTGGAGACTTTAAGAAAGTCTTGGAGACTTTCTTAAACATTCTTAAAATTCAAATTTACATGAGTTAAAAATGAAAATATAAATAGGACTGTTTATATTTGAAAGAAGAGTTTCTTCTTTAAGGAGAATCAAGGCATTAAAAATAAAAGATTTTTCCCACTTATTAAGATAATATGAAGGCACCATAATATCTGCTATCAGTATTATGGAAGGATAGAACCAAGCACTTGTCTGTGTTACACTGAAATAAATCACAACAAAGATAAGTAGAATACTCAAAAAGATTAACTCTCTGGTGTTAAATGTTCTACTGTTACCAGAATATTAGAACATTTTCTGGGCTTGATAGAGAGGTTTCATCAATTTGTATTTGTTGTGGGCCAGACCCAGGGTTGCCTGGGGCTCACTCTGGGCTATTCACTCAGGGATCACTTCTGGTGGGGCCCTCAAAATACGGGGTGCTAGAGATAGAACCCAGGTTGGACACATGAAAGGAAACCATCCTACTGGCTCTATCGTCACTCTGGCTCTGGGTTAATCAGTTTTTAATGTTTGGGGCATTTGGGAGTGGACTCATCAAGCTACACGAGCCTGGGACCACCGAAAAATTAAATGGTTTTCCTGATTACATTTTGCTTTCCTACTTATACTTATTTCCTACTTATATGCTTATAATTGGGCTGGAGCGATAGCACAGCGGTAGGGCATTTGCCTTGCACACAGCCAACATGGCCAACCCGAGTTCGATTCCTCCGCTCCTCTCAGAGAGCCCGGCAAGCTACCAAGAGTATCTTGCCTGCACGACAAAGCCTGGCAAGCTCTCCGTAACGTATTCAATATGCCAAACACAGTAACAAGAAGTCTCAGGATGGAGACGTTACGGGGCCTGCTCGAGCAAATCAATGAACAACGGGAGGACCGTGACTGTGACCATGATGCTTATAATTAAATTGTGTTGGGCCAGAACTATAGTACAATGGGTAGGGTGAATGCCTTGAACATGTCTGGCCTGGGTTTGATCCCTTGCATTCCATCTGGTTCCCCCGAGTCCCTCCAGGAGTGATCCTTGAGGACAGAGCCAATAGTGAGCCCTGAGAACAGCCATCAAGCCAGATCGCTCATGAGTTGGAAATCCCTGCATACAGCCAACACTGCATATGGTCTCCAGAGCACTGTCAGGGATCAATCCTAAACACAGACTAAGAATGACTCCTGCAGAGGCCACTGTGCATTGCCCAAATGAGCCTCCACAAAACAAGAAATTTTGTCACTGAGATAGTAATATCTACTTTAGACAAACTGGCAGGCTACCAAATGTAACCTGCCCACACGGCAGAGTCTGGCAAACTCCCCGTGGCATACCCAATATGCCAAATATCAGTAACAATGAAGGGTCTCATTCTCCTAACTCTGAAAGAGACTTGAATATGGCACTTTTTTAAAAAAAATCTCAGGGTTAGGACGAAGAGACATTACTAGGGCCTGCTCGAGGCAATCGACAAATAACAGGATGGTTGTGATTGTGATTGTGATTGTGAGATAGTAATATGCAATATGATTTTTAAAATTTTTTTAAATTTTGCTCTTTATTTCTCATATATTCCATCAAGAGAGGGTTCCCTAATCAACTCTTAGAATAAATTCCAATCTTTCAGTTCCTCTATAATTCATAATTCAGTTTCATTTATTAATTTCATATTCTTGGCTCATTGATTTCATCCTGAAAAGATTCTGCCAATGTACTGAGTCAGAGTTTGAAGCCTGTCAGGCTAAGATATAGACGCTGTGATGTTTGTTGATGATAGAGAATAGTAATAGTTACCTTACAGATCAGGGAGGAAACTATCTTAGCATGACATCTAGCTACAGACACTTGGCATTATATTTCTACACAAATATCTATAACACCAAACAAATAGTCTTGATCAACTCACGTTACTACCAAGTAACTTCAAATAGTGAGCACGACTACTGCTTTATGACCTAAATAAAATCAACTGTAGAGTGCATATACCTATGAAGTGGTATTATAAAGATGACCAAGAGAGATTCATTGATGGTGACCACCTGTTCTAATGAAGAGAATCTTATAAAATCTATGGCACATACACTTGTATGAAAGGAATTAGGGAGCATTGACTGCCTGCTATAACATGAGTTTCTAGAGCCTCCTATTTTAGGAATATGTGATAAAACTTAGCTAGTGAGATGAATGGAGTAGTTATGCTTGAGTCATGCTGTATTTTACTATCATCATGGTAAATGATATCTAACATAATGTCTGGGCCAGAAACATAGTACAGCAGATAAGGTGCTTGCCTTGCACATGGCTAACTGCGGTTTGCTTACAGCACCGTAGATGATCCCCTGAGAACTGCCAGGATGAGTTCATATTCATAAACAATTATAAGGTACATCGGGGGTGCCCGCCCAAAAG